AGTAAAAAAAACGGTTCTGATTTTTATCCCATAACAAATTTTTAATGTCAAACTATAAATACCAAAATAAATCTGTAATTAATGTCATTCTATTTCCAGCAAACATTAATTACTTTTGACTTTTTTTTTATACTAAATATGATAAATGGGATACCTTTTAATATAAGTATATATTAATTAAGGGTAATCACGTCATTAAGAAAATACGGATTCGGAAAATCCGTGTTCCTATCAGAATTAAGAAAAAACGGATTCTGAGAATCCATGTTTTATATTCTCAGAATCCGACTGTTTAACTTTTTTCCACACACTTTTTTTTTTTAATTATTTTTGTCCACTTATATTTTGTTTTTTTTTATTTAAATAAATGATCCGCAAATCCCTATCAAATGGATATCGTCTAATCTCGACTGTCATGTCAACCTTCACAGATGAGGAAGAGAAAAAATGTATCAATCCTGTATAGATTAATTGACAACGAATTCACGTTTTCACTCAGCCCTTCAAAATTGTGTCATTTTGCGTTTATTTTATTAATTTGTCATATATCGTATATTTCCTGACGATAGCCTTAGAACTGTTCAAAGTCACATTAGTGATACTTTGGTTAATAGATCTATGGCATGAATCACGAAAGTTGAATTTTGGTGATCATGACTTAACTAATTAGCTATTCACTGCGTGATTCTATATATAATTGTTTTACATTTGGGGATTTTTTAATCCGATTTTTGACTTATTTCTAGGATTATGACATAAATAATATAGAAATAAAATAAGTTATTACTCAAGATTTACCTGGCAAGTATTAATTGGGTAGTTATATTTTGACGTGATTAGACATCCCTTAACCTTGACAAATAGAATTTTAATTAATATAAATTTAAGAAATATATTATTGAATAGACTTATGAGTACTTACTCAAAATTTTATGTTAAATAGTACTAATTGCATGTATAATTAAAAACTAAATAGAATGTTATAATGATATTAATTTAAATAGTATTTTTTTTCTTATAATTTTTTATAAAAGTTTGAACTAAATTTTCAAATAATATAGAAGTGGTTTTATGCAAAAAAATTTAAATATTAAACATATGATTTTAAAAGGATAATATTACAAGTCAATGTGTAAATCAGCGACTCAATAATAAGAATCTTAAATATTCTCAAAAATCATTAAAAGTAACTATTTTTTAGGTGAATTCGAATGATTAATTTAAGATATCTGGTATCCAACATTTGAATTCCGTTATGGAATGGTGGACTATTTTATTAATTGTCTTCATTAATTACATAACCTGAAATGTTTGGATTTTAGTTTGTTAGATGATTCAATTCATCTACAAAAAAATAATCTATTTTCACAACAGAGATTATATATAAATAGCAAGGGTATCTGTAAAGCAATTTTGTAATTTCAGAAAGTAATTTCCCTAATGTCTTCTTTTCAAAGATGGTCCTTAAATTTTGGACTATGGAAAAAGGCCCATTATTATACAATTACTTACNTTATTCATGGGCTCACTTATATTAGTAACCTTACTAACACAATTGAAATTTAAAAGTATCATAATTTCATTTTTCAACAAGATAGAGTATGCATAACTGTACTAAAAAAAATTGTTATATTCCAACAAAAAATCCTATGATAATATATTCCAATGGAAATTCCGACGGATATTCCAATGGTATAGCTTTCGTTGAAATGATTCCAACGGAAATTCCAACAAAAATATTCCATTGAAATGTATTTTTCATTAGAATTTTAGATAGAATTTGATGATTCTAACAGCTTTTGACCGTAAGAATTTCTGTAGGAATATGCAATTTCTGTTTGACTTTTTATTTCTACCACCGTTGGAATCGTCAAAATCCAACGAAAATATTTCGTTGGAATGTATCTTTCATTAGAATTTTAGATAGAATTTGATGATTCCAACGACTTTTGACTGTAAGAATTTCCGTTTGAATTTTTATTTCCACCACCGTTGAAATTGTCAAAATCCAACTAAAATTCCAATGGAAACGCATTCCAATGGAATATTTTTGTTAGGATTTCTATTGTAATAATTTCAACGGAAATAATAGCATTGAAATATCCATAAAAATTGTCGTTGGAATTCTATTGGAATATATTTCCGTTGGAATTTCATTATTTTCTTGTAGCGAACACTTGTTTCTAATGATAAGTTATATTTTTATTTTATATTCATTTTGATTTTAAAAAATATTTTAGTTCTTAAAAATATGCTTTTTTGTTCAATATTTTCATTTGCATAATTTGCGATGAGATCAACTATTTAAAGATAAATTCTATATATAATCCAAGTAAGAACTACGCCTAACATGTAAATTTCAATATATACAACTCTGAAGGATCGTGTTTCTTTCTATGTCTATATCAAGCGTTAAGATGATCATGAATTAAATATACATAGGAGATAATATTTATACTAGTACAGAGCCCGTGCGATGCACGGGGTGTACAATTTTAAGGCTATTTATCCAGGTTTATACTTATATATATGAATAAAGAAAAATGTACGTGATATATATGGTACGTGACCCGTGCAAAGCACGAGATATATTTATTTGGAGAATATTATATTATAAGATGCAATATTCAATAAAAGTTTATAATACGCAAGAAAATTGTACAATGTTCAATAAAAGTTTCATAATATTCAAGTGGAGTCTTAAAGTCTCTTGTACATTAAGACTACTGACAAAATAATATTTTAATCAATGAGTTTCCTTTTCTTGTAGCGAAATTGTGAATGTGATTTGAGGAGTAAAACAATTCGATATATAGTTGACTTGCTTTTCTCATTGTAGTTTTTTTTCTTTTTTTTTTTTTATAATGAATTTAAAGATATTCTAAAATATAGCAAAAATTAATTTTTTTATTACAATTAGGAATTTTACTAAATATAAACTCTCAATCTATGGTGTTAATCAACGTTTAAGTCTAAAAAATTAGGAATTTTTACCTCTTTTAATCAACGTTTAAGTCTAAAAAACAATAGAGTTATTATAAGTTTTTTTTTCTACATCTTTTAAAACATTAAATATGAGCATGTTAGGGCTAGCTTGTAAAACAATTAATATATTATCTCACTAAAACATTTATATTAATAAAAATTTAATTTTAGCATATAAATTTATCCCTTGATATAAGAGAAAGTAACAGTTCTACTTATTATTGTTCACCATATAATATTTGATTATTATTATATTATATAATAAAAAAGAAACATTGTTAAATAGTGTAGTAGAATTGTTATAAAATTATATGATTTTTTTTTTTACAATATGGATTTAATATTTTTTTATGATTTGATAATATAAACAAATCTATACTTAATTTTCACAAATAAAACAAATAAATACTTTAGTAAGTATTTAATGTATATACTAAATAGAATATATTTGGTATAATCAAATACCAAATATAATGAATATTTTCAATTATATATAAATAAAAGTGATTATTAGTTGTATCTTGTGTGGTATTTCCAATTAATTTTAAGGTTCAGCTGATTTTATCTTGTGCATGTGTGAACAATATTCAATCGCGAATTCACTATGTATGTAACTTCTTCGAGGTTTCATAGAAAATATTCATTATTTCTGAAGAGGTAGGTGATCGAGGTGTCACATGTTATGAGAAGTTCTATTTAGTATAAATGTTTTAATGAGAGAATATATTAAGTATTTTACAAGCTAGCCCCTCATATTTAATGTTTTAAAAGATGTAGAAAAAAAACTTATAATAACTCTATTGTTTTTTAGACTTAAACGTTGATTAAAAGAGGTAAAAATTTCTAATTTTTTAGACTTAAACGTTGATTAACACTATAGATTGAGAGTTTATATTTAGTAAAATTCCTAATTGTAATAAAAAAATTAATTTTTGTATATTTTAGAATATCTTTAAATTCATTATAAAAAAAAAGAAAAAAAAAAACAAGTCAGCTATATATCGATTTGTTGTACTCCTCAAATCACATTCACAATTTGGCTACAAGGAAAGGAAATTCATTGATTAAAATATTATTTTGTCAGTAGTCTTAATGTACAAGAGACTTTAAGACTCCACTTGAATATTATTAAACTTTTATTGAACATTGTAAAATTTTCTTGCGTATTATAAACTTTTATTGAATATTGTATCTTATAATATAATATTCTCCAAATAAATATATCTCGTGCTTTGCACGGGTCACGTACTATATATATCCCGTACATTTTTCTTTATTCATGTATATAATTATAAGCCTGAATAAATAGCCTTAAAATTGTGCACCCCGTGCATCGCACAGGCTCTCTGTACTAGTTATATGATGAACAAGAATAAGTAAAAATATTATTTTCTCTTATATCAAGGAATAAATATATTTACTAAAATAAAATTTATATTAGTATAAATGTGTTTGTGAGATAATATATTACTTATTTTAAAAACCAGCCCTTACATGCTTATATTTAATGTTTTGACTAAAAAAACAATGCTGATAGAAATAGATGGAAAATAGATTATAACTCTATTGTTTTTTAGACTTAAGGCTGATTAAAAGAGGTGGAAAAGTAACTCTGTTGTTCTTTAGACTTAAACGGACAGATACTGTGAAAATAACTTATTTAATATCTATGTCTCGTGCATCGCACGACGTACGTATTAATCTATCAAATAAAAGGAAAAGAATATATGTCACATTCGTTTCGTGGAAAAGTAGGATGATCAATTCAATTATGCTTGTGAACTTGTGAACTCGTGATGTAATTGCGTTTCGTAGCTACCATTCTTAAATATGAGTAAAGACTTAAACTACATCACAAAATCCCACAAGCCAGATTCCGATCGTGATTATTATTTGGAAATAAAACAAGCGCGTGCCTTATTACCAACATCTAATTCAACTTGATCAGTCAAAGTCTCAATAGTCTCTCTCCTAAATTCCAATGTTCATACTTTAATTTGCTAATCCAACAATACCAATATTCTACCTATATATACCCCCCTCAACACCCAAAATCATCACATCACTCATCTAACAAATCAGTATACTCACAGTTAATTAAATCTCTCTCCAATCCATGGCAAGCTTTGTGTTCTTACTCTCCATCATCACCATCTCCCTAATTTCCGCCGAATGCAAGTTACTTAACGACACCTCGTCTATTGCAATAGCCGCTAGCGACTATGGAAACATGGTGCACGAAAACTCAACTTCCGTACTCTACCCTTCGTCAGACGCTGACATCATCAACCTTGTCATGGCGACATCATCACCCTCGACTATCGCTGCCCGAGGGCACGGGCACTCGGTCAGGGGGCAGGCCATGACCTCGGGCGGCGTGGTGGTCAACATGACTGGGCTCGGTGAGAATAATGGTGATAGGATAGTGATTGGTGGGGATTCTTTGTTCGGGTTTTATGCGGATGTTGGGGCAGAGCAGTTGTGGGTTGATGTGCTAAGGGCAACGGTCAAGCGGGGGCTGGCGCCCGTCTCGTGGACCGATTATCTGTATCTGACTGTAGGGGGGACACTATCGAATGCTGGGATTAGCGGACAGTCGTTCTTGCACGGACCGCAGATTGCGAATGTTCTTCAACTTCAGGTTATTACAGGTAATCTATCTACCAAAGCTTCCAAAGTCTCTCAATACTAGTTCATTATTTATTTATTTATTTTATATATGTAATATATAAATATGTGAAAAAATTGATAATAAATAATAAAAGTTATTAATTTTTGATTTTCAATACCATACAATAATTCATCGATTTTACCGCGTGTTTTATCGGTTTTAATAATTAAGTATAAATTAAGTTTGTTATTATAATGTAAATAATATATAAATGAAATTTTAATTAATATTAAACTTTAATAAAAATCTGATAAGAATGTAAATATGTTAAAATTAAATGTAGAACTTTTCATTATATAAATAAAATATGCTGAAAAAAGCCGAAAAAGAAAATTAATAAAAAGAATAGTATTATCAGTTTTAGACGCTATTACATAGCGTTGTTAAAAAATTGCCCTTTCTGACACAAAATGACACATGCATTGAGAATAATTGAGAGAATTCGTCTGACTTTGCTATACAAGTATTTAAAAACATGATCACGAACTAATTTTCTTCTTTTGTGTCATCCTTTAAGTAGATTCTGTGTGTTTCTTTCAATTTTTTGCTTAAATTGGAAATGATTACGATTATATTCCAACATCTATTAATGAAATTTTTAATCTTAAAAACAATCATCATTATACATCTATTACTATATAATACGGAGAAGAAAAAATGTTTGAAAAAATATTTCAAATTCCCGCTTAAAAAACTGTTTTCCCCCTTAAATTTAATTTGAATTTTTTTCATCCCCTTTTTTTGCCATGGATTTCCCTTATCTACAACATGATTAGATTTCAAATCTTTTCAGTTCACATTACAATTCGATTTTAATTCGGGATTCAAAATTTGATTAGATTTTTTTTTAAATATGTAAAAAAAAGAGAATCCTCTCTCTCTCTCCCTCTCTCTCTCTCTCTCTATATATATATATATATATACAAATTTGTGATGAGTTGAATTTTAAATTCAATTTAATATTAACAAATGTATATTTTATGTAAATAAAATTTAATAGAAAAACAAAATTAAAAAAATTGTGTGGTAACATTTTCGAAATAAATAAATTATGGGAAGGTGATTTTATTAGCAAAAAATTCAAAGAATTTTGTTTGGGTTCAAATTTTGAATACGTGTATGATTAGTTATAGATAAATGAATCCAACATATTCTAACTACCAAAAAATATGGAAACACATTTCCTTATTTAAAAATTCAAATTCAAGAATGTGAGGAGTTGAATTTTAGATTTAATTTGAAATTAACCACTAATGTATATCTTATGTAAATAAAACATAATAAGAAAAAAAAAATTGTGTGGTAACATTTTTCGAAAAGTGTGAGGAGTTGACTTTTAGATTCAATTTAAAATTAACCAATGTATATCTTATGTAAATAAAATTTAATAAAAACAAGAAAAATAGAAAAAAATGTGTGGTAACATTTTGGAAATCTATTACTATTATTACGACTAAGAAAAATTGTTCAAAAAACTCAAAAAAATTATCTTATTTTCCCGCTTCATATTCCCGCTTTTTTTTTCGTTTTATTACTTTATTCGGTAAGGTTTTTTTATATTTTTTTTCATAATCCCGCCTACATTTCAATTGTAATTTATTTGGACGTATATCATAATCCTTTTTTTTTTAATCGATTTGGTAGGAATCGGATATTTCCTTTTTTTTTTGGAAGGGAGTTGATATAAATCGAATAACATCAATTTAAGTTAATTAATTATGAAATTTCATTTCCTTTTTTTTTTCAAATCTGATTTATATTATATAGATAGATTTCACTTCCTTTTTTTGTAAGCGATTACCTTTTTTTTTGGTAAGCGATTGTTTCAATGAAACGTGCACTAAGATCGGGTTGACCGAATTAAACAATTTTGAATAATATTAAATTAATCGATTACTATTAAATTAATTTTATTTGATTTTCACGTCTAAAATTTTCCAAAATACTATTTTTATTCTTGTGGAAAATGGCGGTTGGATGAAAAAGTCAAATTCAAATTAAAAAAAATTGTTATTTTGAAAAAGATATTTTGTAAACCTTAATTCATAAAAATATGGTCAATGATAACTTTAAATACAACGGGTAAATATGGTCAATGATATCATAAATTATATTTTATATTCGATAAGTTCAACTTAATTGATGATTTTGTTTGTTAATATTTGCTTAACTACAAAATATTTTAAAGTTTATAAAGAATCTCATTTTATGTAGGTTCTTGGTACTCTTTTATTTGTACATATTCATTTTTCATCCCATATCCAAATACAAATTTAAATGCGGATCTTACATGTTTATTAGAAATATATGTATATTTTTTAAAAAATGACGATCATATAATTAATTTTATCATATATCATATGTTGGATGTTATTAGTTTGGTTGGGGACACTCATTATATTCAAATAAATAATATATAATTTTACATATTTGGTATTTCTTTTTTTATAATAATAAGATGTTAAACATAAATAACTATGTTTAATATAAAGTCTTAGAAAAGGTTTTAAGTAAAAACCCCTCCGTGCAGCGCACGGGATACACACTAGTTTATCTACAAATTCTACTATTCATTGAATCATATATTTTTAATTATCATTCATTAATATATGTTTATCTATAGAATTTACGCTTCATCCATGTATATATAATTATATCAATTATTATTTTGGGATCACAAATAGTTAATTATTATTAGTTTCTTAAAATTTAAAATAAATTACCAAAATAGAGTTGGTCAACTTTCACGAGACTTTTTTCGTTCTTTTTTTCTCTGTTGACTATTTGTGATTCCGACTTCCGAGCATATGGGCTGACATATTAACCTAATAATGAAACTCAGACATTAATTATGTGTTTGGGTGGCCTAAGAATTAGTCTGCTGGGTTCAAATTAAATATATTGATGTATATAAAATTATCATCTTAATTAGCATTCTTTCTTTTAATTGTTATAAAAGGAGTGACATGAATGGATATTAAATATATAACAAACTGATAGGTACAATATCATACTTTACAAACCATAGTATTTATAAAATATAAATACTAAGTTTGTTTTTATTTTATTTTTATTTTTTTCAGGTCAAGGGGAAAACCTCACTTGTTCACCAAACAAAAACTCCGAGCTATTTCACGCGGTTTTGGGTGGTCTTGGCCAGTTCGGCATCATAACCAAAGCAAGAATCATCCTAGACAAAGCACCAACAAATGTAAGTACGTATATATCAAAGAAAGCAATGCATCATTTTATAAATATTATTAACTACTACCGATTATGTTATAAACCTTCAAGCGCGAAGGTAAAATTCATACAANCAAAAAAAAAAAAAAAAAAAAAATCGGGACTAACCGTGTACGCATTCGACTTATTATTTCTCCTCAGGTAAAGTGGGCAAAATTGATTTATAGCAATTTCACGTCATTCACAAATGATCAAGAACGCCTCATCTCAGGCAGCAACGCGAACTATGTCGAAGGTTTTGTGATTGTGAATGCGAGTGAAATCGATCAATGGAATCCCCCCTTCTCAATATCACAATCCAATCGGTCCCGGATTGTTGACTTGTTGACCAATCAAAGCGTCCTTTATGTAATAGAGTTGGCAGTGTATTATGACAACCAAACTGATTCTAATACTATTGATCAGGTATTTTATTCATGAAAATAATAATAATACTATNAAAAAAAAAAAAAAAAAATTAAAAATTGATAGTTTTAACTTTTAACCCTTGTTTTATTTATTTATTTTTTTTTCAGAAATTTGAGACATTGCTCAAGGAATTGAACTTCATCCCTGGACTCGATTTCAATACAGACGCGTCGTTGTTCGATTTTCTACACAGAGTTGGAAACTTAGATACTGTAGAAATGGGATCACAACTATCTCATCCGTGGCTTAATCTCTTCATAGCAAAATCCGACATTTTCAAATTAAATACACTCGTTTTGACCGGCATGCTTCCTAGGCTTAACCAGACATCAGGGCTCTTCATTTTCTACCCACTAAACAAAAACAAGTAAGATTTTTTTTTTTTTTTTACTCGAGTAATAAATATTTAAGTTAAACTTTATTGATTCGCGATAATTACGCGCAAATTAACCATTTAATTTGTGCAGATGGAATGATAATATGTCTGCAGTAACACCCGACGAGGACATTTTCTACGCTTTTGGACTTTTACATACGACCGCGAACGATGCATATCAAAGCATCGATGATTTCAACAATGAAATTCTTGATGTTTGTAAAAAATCGGATATCAAGTTCAAGCAATATCTTGCTCACTACACGACACAGGAAGACTGGATAAACCATTTTGGCGTCAGCAAATGGGGAACGTTTATGAATAGGAAAAAGTTGTTTGATCCAAAGAAGATACTGTCGCCAGGCCAGAAGATTTTCAATTAGTTTATGTTCGTTTGACAATATGTTATAGCTACGTACCCACTGCTCCTCAAGTTAAAGTAAAACGCAATCAGTATATTTAGTTATCTCATTGTTATTTATTTGCATGATTTATAAATTAGATTGGGCTTGTGTTACATAACATACGTTTCCTATTTATGATTGTATCTCACGCGGTTTTACTATTCCAAGTTTTTCATGTGAGAAATTCTCAAAATTGCTACAAGATTAATTTGTTATTTTTCTTGTTGAATTTTCCGTCGGTATTTTCCAATATATATATATATATCAGTGATGTGTTGCCGAAGGAGCCCTCGGCAATATTTTCTGAGAACCACGTACTAGTGGAAAATATTTTCCACGCGCGGCTAAATTAAATGCAATAGAGATGAATAACGATAAAATTGGATTAAGGTAAAATAAATATTGGTTCCACCCTTGAGGCTCTCTAGGTCATTGGATGCCATTAAATTTCTATTTCACAGTAATACATTTGAAAAAAGAATGAAAAATAAAGTAAATTGCCTATGATTTGGAAATCGTTAAGTATAAGTAGCATTCCTGCATAAACTACCAGACGTAAAAGCATGTATATTAGTCAAAATCAATAATTCTTGATGAAAAATTGAAATATGAATCATGCTACAATAATATAAGGACGATATAAAATTCCAAAAGACTCCGTAACTTTCTCCATCAAAATAGAATGACAATGTCCTTAGTTGTGGTGGGGACAGTTTATTTAGTTATGGTGTTGACATGAACAACTTTTTTTTGCTACTACTTTTGGTGGAGTTGTAAGTGATGTTGAAACGTATGTAAGTCGTAGACTTCTGTTTGTACAATGACTTTTTTGGTGGACTTTTCTTTGTTGAATGGCTTGATCATTTGGTAGTTGTCTTACTTTTAGTCTTTGGTATGAAATGCAGCTTTGAACGCATGATGAAAGTACAGTATAAAGATAATAATACTTAATCGTGGCATATTTCTTTCTTTTGACTAGAGATGTTAAACGGGCTAGCCCTAGCGGTTTCGGGCTAGCCATAACGGGCTTCAGATTAAACGGTTAGTAATAATAATAATATATAAAAAAATAAAAAATAAAAAGAGTAAAAAATATAAAAAAAAAATAACAACGGCTAGTTAAAAATTATTTTCGACGGCTATTTAGTATTTACCGTCTATCACTATGTTTCATGTATTTCTTATTAGTCGTTCTAATTGGCTTAAATATTTTGGTATGAAGTACAATAACAATATTGTTAATAATTATACTTCAAAATCATAATAATCCATTACAACTCGTACTTACATGTGAAGTGGAATATCAAAATTGTAATATACAAGGAATTTAAGAGCATATTACTTACTTGATGCAAACATTTACACTGCCCAACTCTACTTAAACGGGCCAGCCCTAGCAGGTTCCGGGCTAGCCCTAACGGGCTTCGGGCTAAACGGTCCCGACCTAAAAAGCCCTGATTTAAACGGGCTACTAATAAAAGGACCTAACCCTCTTTTTTTCCGGGCTAAACGGGCCGGCCCGTCGAGCCAAGGACCATTTAACATCTCTACTTTTGACGCCATGAGTAAAGTAAAGTTTATGCAGTTTTCGTATAAAAGTCAGTTCTTTCCTACTTATTTGAGGCATATTCAAGGACATCATACTTAGTCATCTTTTAGTCCATACAGTGTTGAAACTTCTCTAACCAAGTACATTCATACTAACACAAACTCTATACAATGCATCGAGCCATTTTTTTTTTTTTTTTTTTTTTNAATATATTAATCTCTAAAAGAAACAAAAAGTCCATACAATACATACATGCCTATGCACTTCAACTGAAGCCATACAATACAATACAATACATACATGCCTATGCATCGAGCCATAAATAGGTAAAAATAATAAGTCCTTCCAAGCCCCTTCCACAATGTGAATTCCAGTTTTTCAGACACCTAATAGCTTATAAAATTATTTACCATCATGACACCACATTGTTGATATATGATCTCCTTTTTATGTAGACTCCCACGGTCCTTGGTCTCTTATTTGGTATATCCAAGAAGTCCTACCAAGTATAGGACTTTTCTTCTTCTCTCTCCAAATATTCACTTGCCTTAGTTATCCAATCTCTTCCTTATCTTTCGTGATCTCCTACTTGCGTGAAGCTCTCATCCCATATGAACCGATATCCTACAAAGTGTAAATACATAATAAGATCAAATATTCTTTTAACATAATATAAACTAATTTAGGAAATAAGAACTTCCCTTATTTATGCATGCAGGAACTCCCTTTTGAACTCATGCCAAAATATTATATCTTTCAGAAGATATAAAATTTGACATAATAATATGTGTGACGATCCTATTACTATCTATACATCACTCCGCATTTTAATATCTTTCTTCGTCCTGACTCCTCTCCTTTCAGCTTTCACTCCTATTACTTTCAGAATTTGTTAATTTCTGTAATTTGTGATAGAGTGAACAGTCGGTGTTTTTTTATGTTATCCAATGTCTTAGTTCTTCTCAACTATTATCTGAGGCCAGTCAAAAGATATTAATTAGTGTGCCATCTTACTTAAATACTTAGTCCAATTTCGCTACATTCCAATTCACTGTACAAAGCTTTGATTTGCACTCACAATGAAAGTATGACATCATCATCAGTAAGGCTTATTTGGAAATGGGTCGATATAGGTGTGTTGTTTACATTATCCATGACCATGGGAACAGAATTTGGCTGCAAGAGCATTCATCGACGACAATTACATTTGAGTATGGCGTACTAATTCCAAAAGACTCCATAACTTTGTTCATCAAAATAGAATGACAGTTCATTTGTTATGGTGGTGACATGAACAATTTTTTCTGCTACTACTTTTGGTGGGTTTGTAAAGTGATTTTGAAGCGTCGTAGACTCCTCTTTGTACAATGACTTGATCTTTTTTGGTGTAGACTTTTCTTTGTTGAATGGCTTGGTCATTTGGTAGTTTTCTTACTTTTAGTCTTTGGTATGAAATGCGGCTTTGAACGCATGATGAAAGTACAGTATAAAGATAATAAGACTTAATCGTGGTCGTGGCATATTTCTTTCTTTAGGCGCCATGAGTAAAGTAAAGTTTATGCAGTTTACGTAGAAAGTACAGTTTTTTCCTACTTATTTGTGGCATATTCAAGGACATCATACTTAGTCATCTTTAGTCCATACAGTGTTGAAACTTCTCTAACCAAGTACATTCATATCAACACAAATTCTATACAATGCACCGAGCCATAAATAGGTAAAAATAACAAGCAATAATAACAAGTAATAATAAATTCCAGTTTTTTGATGTATGAATATAGAGAAAGAATCGTTGGATTATTTTATTATTTTTGAATCAAAATAATAAATTTAAGTTCATTTTTATATTTAATATGAACTATAAACTTATTAATACTTCAAAAATAATTATTTCTTATTTATACAGACAACATGGCTGTCAAATGAAAGATGTGAAATAAAGGTTAGCATAGTATTATATAAAATATATGCATAACAAATAAAAATGTTGTTTAATTTTTTTAAAAAGGAAATGACATAATAATTAATAAGTGACAGAAGCTGGGGGAAAACGGGTGCAGACCCACTATCATGAAACGCACCATGAACGGGGAAAACCCATATGAAGCCCAATGAGGTTCCATTCCAAAACCAATTGGTGGAAGGAGGAGTAACTCATTAGTCTTATAAAGTGGGTCTATTTCCCATGTATGAACAATGTGGGACAACTCACAAGTGATATTCTAACACGTCTCCCTCCCTTGTGAGTCCTTCGAAAGCCCAAGTCCAACTGGTTGGGTGACGGGTACGTCATCGCACGATCACCAATAGAATCGGTTCTGATATCATGACAGAAACTGGGAGAAAACGGGTACGGACTCACTATCATGAAGTGCCCCATGAACGAGGAAAACCCTTATGAAGCCCAAATGGGATTCCATCCCAAAATCAATTGGTGGAAGGAGGAATAACCCATTAGTCTTACAAGGTAGGTCTATTTTATATGTATGAACGATGTGGAACAACTCACAAGTGAGTGGGTCTATTTTCCATGTATGGATGATGCTGGACAACTCAGACGTTTCATGAAAACTTCATTGAAAAGA